AGTGCGGACACCCGATCGGCATAGCGCACTGCAGCCCAGAACTCCTGGGCTCAAGCGATCCTCCTGCCTCAGCCTCCCGAGTAGCTGGGACTACAGGCGCGCGCCACCGCGCCCGGCGCTCGGAGGGCCGCCGAGGAGCTACTAGAGGCTGAGCTGCGATGACGCGACCCGGAGGCGGAGCGAGGGCGGGGCTGCGGCGCTCGCCGGGAGGCGGGGGGGGGAAGCGCCCAATGCGAGGCGCTGCGGAGGCTGAGGCCGGGGGACGGCTTCGGGGGCGCGCTGCCGTCCCGCTGTCCTGGGCTCTGAGCCGGGGAAAGCCGTTTTCGCTGTCCGGCCTCGGCTCTGCGAGTTTTGCTCCGAACGCTGTGTTCTTATACGTAAACCAGGCTTCAGTAACGTACTGCAACTCTGGGGGGGAAGTTGCTAAGGAGGGAACCATCTGACCCTAAAAGTCTCCTTGGTCCGGCAGGCAGGTGCCTTTATTGTACGAAGTATAGAACCTTTAGTAGCAAGGGGGCTGGGGGTCTGCAAAATCATCGCAGGCCCACTCAGTTTTCACTATTGCAATGAAGCTTGAGGGAGTGGTCTACTTTCGTAGCCTCCGCATATTCGTTGCTGGTTACTGTAGGAAAATCTATCTAGGTAGGTGGGCGCAAGGATTAGGATTTGGCAGCCTGGAGTCCTTTTTTTTTTTTTTTTTGGAACAAGTTTGGGTTAGGAAGGGGTAGGAGGAAGAAGGGAGCAAGGATTTCCAGCCATAGCGGATCTGCAACCACCAGACCTTTTATCTGTCCCGTCCCCATCTCTTTTCTCCTAGAACATAGTCCAAACTTCCCCCTCCACCTCCACTGTTGCATCACATAACTTTGCTCCCCCCTTCATAGATAAATCAAGGCCATCAGGAAAACTCTAGCAAGTCCTTGTTATTCCCTCCTCTAAATTTGTGCTTACATCTTCAAGGAAGGGCAACTCTCGTGGCTTCCTATCTCAAATCCAGTGGGTAAAAATTTATCATTTCCACGTCCATCCTATCTCTTTCTCTTACTTGTTTAAAGAGATGCTTTCTTTTATCTTAACTCTCCTTTAACCTTGCCTCTCTTTCCAAATGAAATGTGTGTTGTTTACATGGCGGCTCTTTTTGAAAGCTTGTTCTACAAATACTGCATTCACTTTCTAACATTCTGTCTTCAGTCCACAGTCCATTGACCCACTGAAACTATTCTACTAAGACTTTCATATCTAAGCTCCCAACTCGCACATCTAAGGGACTCTTTAAGACCTATGTGATATAATTTATCACCCCCTCATCTGATCATTTGTGACCACTACCTCCTCCCTGAAATTTTCTTCTCCCTGGTTCTTGTCTACAGTCTCTGATAGGTCCTCCCACGCTTTGCCAGTCTCTCCTCTGCCAACTCTACAAATGTGGCTGTTCCTTGTAGGTCTCTTCTAAACCTTATTTTCTTGCCATGCTCTTCATAAGTGATCTCATCAATTCTCAAGGCTCTCAAATCTATAGCTCTAATCTAGTGCTCTTTCCACAACTCTAAAGCCATATTTTTAGCAGTCTAGGATATCATCTTGAAATCACTCAAAATTGAACTTGAAATCACTTTGAACTTATACAAGCAAACCTAACCATCTTCTGATCCCTACCTATAAACTTGCCCACCCAATTTCCCATTCTTTACCAATATATTTAGTTGGTCATTTCAGAACTCTCTCAGTCATCCTTGACCACTGTTTCATTCATTTACAGCTATTTCTTTCTTACCTATCCAATGACAAGCTGTGTGCTAGATGATAGAGACATTTGGGGGAGACAAACAAAAACACAGCAATATGTATATGCTGTGGTAAGTGCCATTCAATAAACAAAGTGCTGAGAGAGAAACAATGATGGCAGGAATGGGGGAGCAACATACTTTATAAAAAGTAGACAGGTCAGACTCCTTGAGAAGGTATCTGTTGTGCCCAAGATTACATATCTGAGAAACCACCAAGGAGCCGACACCAATGCAAACACATGAGGGTTTATTTACAAGCTCGAGCTTGGGTCCAAGTATACTCCACACAGCAGAGCAGGGGCTTGGACCCCGAAGTGGGTTACAGCTGGGGTTTTTTATGGGCTGGTCTAGGGGATTTTCAGAAGGGGTGGAGGAAAATTTTTTCCATTCCAATATGGGGGAAAGGGTGGGGGAGTTTCTTAAGATCTGATATGGGATTCCCTGCTGAGGGCATTCTGAGCTTTATTGTCTTTCCAATATGGGATTCCCTGCCTAGGACATTCTGCACTTTTTGCTGTAAAATTCAGCTCTTATTCCCAGGGGCCTAAGATGGCTGTACTTGTGCTAATGCTAAACTTGAGGTGGAATGGCCTTAATTTTTCTCGGTCTCCACAGTATCATTTGAACTGGGGCTTAAAGAAAGAGACATCAGTTAGGATACTTCAATTGCCAGAAATAAGGGCTATGTGTAAACTGAAGTAAAGGAACTCCTCTTAAGAAAGAATTGGGGATCCCTTGGTGGCTCAGTGGTTTGGCGCCTGCCTTTGGCCCGGGGCATGATCCTGGAGTCATCGGGCTCCCGGCATGGAGCCTGCTTTTCCCTCTGCCTGTGTCTCTGCCTCTCTCTCTCTCTCTCTCTCATTGATAATTAAATAAAATTTAAAAATTAAGTTAAAAATAAATTAAATATTTAAATAAATTAAATTAAAAATTAAAAATAAATTTAAAAAAAGAAAACTGATTGGAAGAAAGTGGGGGCAAATGTGGCAGAATGGTAGTTGTCTGAGTCTGTTCTCACCTTTTACTACACTAATAAATTTTTAGTCGGGCAGATCAAGCCCCACCCAGAGACAGACATAATTTGATGTGGGGTCCAAGAGCAAATGGTCAAGAAAGAATTCTTAAAATGGTTGTTTTATTAGAATGTAGAAGAATGCAAAAATGGCAGTTTTATTAAAGCACGGGACATGGGATCCATGGGCAGAAAGAGCTGCCCTGGGATTGTGAGGAGGGATTGGTTATATACTTTTAAGTGGGAGTGGAGGGTAGAAGCAAAGGAAGTTTCCAAAAGGATTTTCATCTGTTAAAGAACACTTACAGGATCCCAGAGACCTAGCTATTGTCAAGCTAAGGTTGCTTTTTTGCCACCAGCAAAGCGTTAACATTTAAGATGGTTGGGAGTTCCTGGAGGAATGTCATGCTCTGCCTGTATCAAGTATTTGTCAATGGGCTGCGAGTTGTGAGGAAATTTAGGTTTAGCTACATCTCCTTTTGCCCTTGCTGTCCAAGTCAGAGACCACATTTCCCAGTTTCTCTTACAATCAAGTGTGTCCAAGTTCTCACCAATGGAATATGAGTGAATGTGATAGGTGCAGCTTCTGCATCACTTGCTTAAAAATAAATCCTTTGTCCTCTACCTCTGCTTTTGCCCTTCCATAGAGCTAGATGGCGCTAGGGCAAACCCACAGCAGTGCCCCGGCTTTAACTATGCAAATGAAGAAGATATCCCAGGCTATACCAGAGCTTCAAGAAGAAAAAAAACCCGAGTCCATTTAATTACTTAATGGAGCTGAGCCACCCTGCCAGCCCTGTCCACTCCTACCTCTGGACTGTTACAGGAGAAATAAGGTTCTATTTCATTTAAACTGCTGTATTTGGGAGGGGGGGGTGTGTGTCTCAAGTTATTTATTGTAGCATACTCAGTACTCTATAAACTATATAGGCAAGCTCACAGAGGAAAACCCTGACTAACCAGAACTCAGAAAGGTCAGGAACCAAAAGAGCTACAGGCATCTACAGCTCACTCTAATTGGATAAATCAGACTCAACCTCCTGTAAGAAGAGTCTGGTTTTCTAGTTTGAGTCCTGTGCCCTCCTACACTCTCTACATTCATATCCATTTTTATCATAATTATGTTGTAAAAACTTTTATGTTGTTTTTCTTTGTCACTATACTTTTAGTAGCAGCATGAGCCTCTCAATTTGATGCATACCTTATGATGATTTAAATCGAGCTCCTGTTGATTACACTAAGCAACTCTTCATCATTCTATACACTTTACCTGCATGGTTTTATGAATTAGTGATATGCATAATATCCAATGCTAAGTCAGTCATTCACAAGCTCAAATCAATGTTTGCTTTTTTTTTTTCTCTTTAGGCTCTGCGACTTCTTCTAGCTTTATTTATTTTTTTTATTTATTTATGACAGTCACAGAGAGAGAGAGGCAGAGACACAGGCAGAGGGAGAAGCAGGCTCCATGCACCGGGAGCCCGACGTGGGATTCGATCCCGGGTCTCCAGGATCGCACCCTGGGCCAAAGGCAGGCGCCAAACCACTGCGCCACCCAGGGATCCCTTCTTCTAGCTTTATTGAGGTGTAATTTACAAATAAAATTATAAGCTATTTAATGTGTACAATATGATGATTTGATATACATATATATTGCGAAAGGATTCCTTCCATAGAGTTAACACATCTATCACCTCACATATTTACTTTTTTCTCTCTTCAGTAAGAACATTTAAGTTCTCTCTTAGCAAATTTTAATTGTACAATACAGTGTTATCAACTATAGCCACCGTATTAGACATTAGATCACAGACTTTTCTCATCTTATAACTAAAAGTTTGTACCCTTTACCAACCTCTATTTCCTCCACCTCCCAGCCCCTGCCAACCACTTATTTTTTATGAGTTTGACTTTTTTTCAAAAAGGTCTGACATATAAGTGACACCATGCAGTATTTTTTTTCTATCTAGCTCATTTCACTTAGCATATATCTTCCAGTTTCATCCATGTCACAAACAAGATTTCCTTCTTTTTAAAGGATGAGTAATATCCCATCAAATTATATACATACATACATACATATATTTTTTTCTTTATTCATTCATTGATGGATACCTTAGGTTGTTTCCATACCTTCACTATTATAAATAATGTTGCAATGAACATGGAAATACAAATATCTTTTCCAGATAATGGTTTTGTTTCCTTTGAATATACATCCAGAAGTGGGATTGCTGGATCTCATAGTAGTTCTTTTTTTTTTTTTAAGATTTTATTTATTAATTCATGAGAGACACAGAGAGAGGCAGAGACATAGGCAGAGGGAGAAACAGGTTCCATACAGGGAGCCTGATGTGGGACTCGATGTGGGACTCGATCCTGAGACTCAATCCCAGGACTCCAGGATCACATCCTGAGCGGAAGGCAGATGCTTAACTGCTGAGCCACCCAGGCACCCCGACATAGTAGTTCTATTTTGAATTTTTTTAGGAACCTCCATTCTGTTTTCCATAATGGCTAAACCAGTTATATTCCCACTAACAGTGCAACATGGGTTTCCTCTTCTCCACATACTGGCCACTATTTATATCTAAGTTTTTTAAACCTGTGTGTGTGTGCATTTTTTAGAAGTTTATTTTTATCTAAGTAATCCATACATCCAAAATGAGTCTCCAGTTCACCACTCTGAAATAGGAGTCCGTGCTTTTCTGAAGAGCCAGGCGCCCTTAGGTTGTTTACTTTTTATTAGTTCAGTAAATTAGGTCATGTTTGGCTATATAAGGTTTTGTTTCTTCAAACGGTAACCTGAATGGCAGCTAATATTGAGGGGCCTAAACATTAGAATAGATACTACTACACTCATCCTAAATGGTATGTCTCACTCCGAAAAAATCCATTCCATGTTGCACATGACCTTTATACATTAAGCCTTCTGGAACACTAAACGACGAAGAGCATGGGCTCAGACGAAGAGGCTTTCTGCCCAGGTCTGGGAGAAAAGCTGGGTCTGAGCTTGCTTCCTCAGCATCCATCAGGCAAGAGCACCAGACAAGGCTGAGGCTGGCCGGGACTGCAGGGGCTCTGGAGAGAACATCCGAAGAGGAGGCTCCCTGCGGCAGAAGAAAGAACGACTCAGAGGTCAGAGAGAGAGAAACTAGTGCGGGCTGGAGATTGTTGCCTGCCGGGACCGCCACTCCACTCCGAGACCGCGGAACAGGCGAGGAACTTGGGTGGGGAGAGGCGGGGCCACCCTCGGAAAGGCGGGGCCTCCAGTAAGGAGCCGGACGCGAGAAGGGCAGGGGAGGGGAGGGGGCGACCAGGGGGCGGCACCTGACGCGGGTGGGAACGCCCGGGGGAGGAAAGGGAGGCGAGAGGCGGGGTCACCCCGGGGAAGAGAGGCACGGCCGGAAAGGGGAAGGGAGCGGGGCCGCCAGGGGGCGAGGCCGACAAAGTACTCACCCTGACCTCCGTCCCCATCTCGGGGTCCAGAACAGGGCTGCATCCTCCCGCCCTTTGACCCAGTCTGTTCGCCGCCGCTCACCGCAGGGGGATCACTTGTTGCTGCCAGCAGGGTTTTCATCACGTTAGGTTATTTGCATTTCACAGACGTGCGCCTGTGGGCTAACCCTGATTCTACTGTATTTAATAAGCGAACAATGCATTAACCAGAATTAGCATTTTGACAGAGTGAACGTTTACTTCTTGGCTATGCCTTACATGGAAGAAGAGCCTTTAATATGGTTAATACACAGTATCTCATTGATCCAGAAATTCATTTCTCGTGGCAGGTTTAAAAATACCAGAATTACTTACCCGGTGTCATGCAGCTGGGCCTATAAATATAAGTCAAATGTGTGTGTTTGTGGGGGAGTATTTTCTGTCATTTGAAATCATTTTGACTTTCATCTGACAGTTCTGAGGGAATACGTTAACATTTTAGAATTTAGAACTTTAGAACATCAGAGCATGGCTGTTTATTACATTGATTCTGATTTGACGTTGAATAAATCACATCCCCAAACCAGAACTTCACACATTAAAATCCTGATATTTAACACTTAGCCGCAAATATTGATTCTATCTCTTTACACCAGTGTGGCAAAAGCTTCTTGCTGCATTTAATTTATTCCTTTTTAAAGTGTTAGAATCCACTAGAATGTTTCACATTCATCAGATAACGTTTAAAAGAGTGCTTCCTTTGTTTGGGGACTCCTTAGACTTAAACTAATGTCACCTCAGACCAGAATAAAACACAAATTGACTTACTTTTTTGTGACTTTCTATTCTCAAGATTAATTATTTGCCCAGGTTAATATATGGGAACAGCCTTGCTTTTGGTAGCAAAAATACTTTAAATTGCATACAGCTTTCACTGACTAAGGTGACAGAGGATCAAGATAACATTCTTTGCTTAAATCACTCTCATCCAACAAATATTTATTGAGCACTTGCTATGTGTTAGGTGTCCTGAAGTGTTAACCATTAGTTAATATTGGGGATAAAGGTTAGTTTTGAGAATAAAAGTGTAAACAGGGAAACAATGAATCTGCTTGACATGAAACAAATAGTCTAATACATAGACTTATGTTTATTCACCTTGGACCCTGAGGAAAGGGCATAATTTCTGAGAGGAATGACTGGAAAGGTGTCTAATTTCACATGACTGTTGGCTCCAAATATGACGAATATAAAAATTCTATGGCTTTTCCTACTTGGAGGTGGTGAAAAGGATAATATCTTCCCCTAGATCTCCTCCCCTTATCATGAATCGGTGGAGTAACATTGAGGCCTCCTAAGGTTCAACCTATTTTCACTTTTATTTTGGAGGGGGAGATTTCAAGCTTTTCTCTGCGTGACTCAGACAGCTTTTTAGCATTACTTACTGAGATTTTATGATGTAATGGTTGAATATATAGTACCAGGCATACTTGCTAGGGGATACTTTATAAATACATTGTTACCACAATTCACATCATTAATACTTAAAAATATATCAGATTACACTCTGGTTTCTGTATACGATGATTTACAATCAAAGTGATTCATGATTTCCTCAGGGAGTGCTTTTAGGGCTAATGTACCCTGAAAGTATCTCTTTTTACAGAGAATACTGAGGGCACAGGCTGCCTGTGCTTGTTCAAATGAACCCTCTCACTGTACAATGACAGAACTATAATTCATTTTATGGCATAGCTCATTTCCCAAGAAGGGCTAGACCTGGCATGTGGCAGGAAAGAAGGAAAAGACAAAATCATTACACATGAGTTGCAACTTTCTCTTAATGGAGATAATTTATAATCACTATGATGTATGGATAAACTATATTGTATATTACTAAAAGGGTATAATCAAGGCAAACATACAAATACTGAGGTATGATTTATCATTATCAAAACTAATGTTAATACTCCTATGCATTAACATAATTATAATATAAACTAGAAGAGTGATTTACCCTCTAATGACAACTTTTATTAAAATAGTAAGACCCAGGGCCCTTGGGTGGCTCAGTTGGTTAAATGTCTGCCTTCAGCTCAGGTCATGATCTCAGAGTCCAGAGATGGAGTCCCATATCTGGCACCCCACTCGGTGGGGAGTCTGCTTCTCTCTCTCCCTCTGCTCTCCCCCTCAACTTGTGCTGCCCCCCCAAAGAAATAAATAAAATCTTAAAAAACACACAGAAAAATCCCCATTAAAAAAAAAAAAACATTATGCTAAGTAAAATGAGCCAGACACAAAAAGACAAATATTGTATGACTCCACCTATATGAAATATCTAGAAAAAGCAAATGCATAGAGATAGAAAGCAACTTGGGGAAATTGATCCTTGTTTTTTAGGGCATTAACCGCAAATAGGTGCTGAATTTGACAAATACCTCTTCTGCATTGATAAGTATAATTGTGCACTTTCTTCTTTAGCCTGCTAATATGATGGATTACATTGACTTTTCAAATACTGAGACAGCCTTGCATCTCTGAATAAACTCCACCTGGTCATGGTGTATGGTACATGTTTGGTGTATGATTTTAAAATATATATATATATATATAGTTGGATTTTATCTAACATTGTTTTAAGATTTTGCATCCTGGGACACCTGGGTGGCTCAGTGGTTGAGCTTCTGCCGTTGACTCAGGTCATGACCCTGGGGTCCTGGGATCGAGTCCACATTGGACTTCCTGTAGGGAGCCTGCTTCTCCCTCTGCCTATGTCTGGGTCTCTCATGAATAAGTAAATAAATAAACCTTAAAAAAAAAAAAAGAATTTGTCTTTCACTTAAGTTGTCAAATGTATGGGATCCCTGGGTGGCTCAGCAGTTTAGCACCTGCCTTTGGCCCAGGGCATGATTGAGTTCTGCGTCAGGCTCCCTGCATGAAGCCTGCTTCTCCCTCTGCCTGTGTCTCTGCCTCTCTCTCTCTCTCTCTCTCTCTCTCTCTCTCTGTCTATGATGAATAAATAAATAAATCTTTAAAAAAAAAGTTGTCGGGATCCCTGGGTGGCGCAGTGGTTTGGCGCCTGCCTTTGGCCCAGGGCGCGATCCTGGAGACCCGGGATCAAATCCCACGTCGGGCTCCCGGTGCATGGAGCCTGCTTATCCCTCTGCCTGTGTCTCTGCCTCTCTCTCTCTCTCTCTCTCTCTCTGTGTGACTATCATAAATTAAAAAAAAAAAAAAGTTGTCAAATGTATATGTGTAGAGTTGTTTGTAGCATTGTATTATTATCATTTTGTTACCTGCAGGGTCTATAGTGATATCTCATGGTTCATTTCTGATATTGGTAATTTGTGTCTTCTTTTTTTTGTCAGTCTTGCTAGAGGTTGTCACTTTTCTTTTTTTTTTAAAGCAGGCTCCACGCTGGGCTTGAACTCATGACCCTGAGGTCAAAACCTGAGTTGAGATCAAGATGCAGATGCTTAACTGATTGAGCCACCCAGGTGCCCTAAGATTGTCATTTTAATCAACGTTTCCAAGGAACCAGCTTCTTTGTTTCACTGATCTTCTCTATTATTTTTCTGTTCTCAATTTTGTTGATTTCTGCTCTTTAGTATTTCCTCCTTCTGTTGCTTTGGATTTATTTTGTTCTTTTTCTAGCTTTTTGAGATGGTAACATGGATTATTGATTTGTGACTTTCCCTCTTATTCTAAGGTATGCATTTTAGTGTTATAAATTTCCTTCTCAGCACTGTGTTAGCTGGTCCCCCAAATTTTGATATGTTACATTTTCATTTTCATTCATTTCAATGTATTTTTCTCTCCCTTGAGACTTCCTCTTTGATCATGTATTATTTGGAAGTGTGTTACTTAGTTTCCAAGCATTTAGAGATTTTCCTGTTACTTTTCTGTTATAAATTCCTAGTTTGATTCCATTGTAGTTGGAGAACATACTCAGTATGATTTCATTCTTTAACATCTGCTGAGATTTGGGATGCCTGGCTGGTTGAGTTGGAAAAACATGTGACTTTTAATCTCAGGGTCACGAGTTGAGCCCCACATGGGGTGTAGAGATTACTGAAATAAATTTAAAAACTTAAAAAAAAATTGCTGAGATTTGTTTTATGGTCCATGATCTATTTTATGATCTATTTTAGTGTATGTTCCATGGGTACTTGGTAAGAATGTGTATTCTGTATTGTTATGGGAAATATTCTTTTTTTGGAAATATTCTATAAATGCCAATTATATCCTGTTGGTTGATGCCACTGTTGAATTTTTCTATATCTTTGCTGACTTTCCAACTAGTTTGTTCTATACACTGTTGAGAGAGAGGTATTGAAATTTCCAATTATACATCTACAATCTATAATTGTAGATTTATCTATTGACCCTTCCAGTTCTATCAGTTTTTGCTTCATATATTTTTGTTGCTTGCTTATACAATTGTCTTTAATATATTTCCTCTATATACATTTAGAACCACATCAGACAATATTATAAAATTTTGATGCAATTATCAATGTAATTCAGAAAACCGAAGAAGGAAACTCTATTGCATTTACCTATATTTTTGCTTACTACATTCTTTCTTCTCTCCTGATGCTCCAAAGTTCCTTTAAAAAAATTCTTTCTGGGGCACCTGAGTGGTTCAGTGGTTGAGCGTCTGCCCTTGGCTCAGGTCCTACATCGGGCTCCCTGTGGGAAGCCTGCTGCTCCCTCTGCCTATGTCTCTGCCTCTCTGAATAAATAAATGAAATCTTTAAAAAAAAAAATTCTTTCCTTTCTGTTTAGAGAACTTCCAACTTCTGTTGGGCATTTTTTAGTCTAGGTCTTATGGTGAAATTCTCTTAGTTTTCTTTCATCTGAGAATGTCTTGATTTCCCAAAAAATATTTTACTGGATATAGGATTCTGAGTTGACAGTTTTTTTCTTTCAGCACTTAAAAAATGTTATGTTACTTACTCTTGGACTCTTTGTTTTCTGTTAAGAAATCCACTATTGTTTAAATTGTTTTTTTCCCTTGTAAGTAAGGGGCTGTTTTTCTCTGGTTGTTTTCAAGATGTTTTTGCCTTCAGTTTTTAGAAGTTTGACTATAATGTGTTTTGATGTTTGTATCCTTAGAGTAC